TAATAACTTGATTGGAATTATAACCTTGAATTGACAGTTTGATACTTTGAAAATTTTGAGCCAGCCCTACCCCCAAGGGCTGTAGGGTGGGGCTCAAAGGAGTCAGTGTGCTAAAATTTCTTCATTTTCCTTGTTAAGAATCAGAGGTGCTAGTTTCAAATCCTTTTTAGTCTGAAATCTGTATGCTAGATATTGAGTAAGGTGGTTTTATTGTTTTTTGTCACTTTGAATAATATTTCTGTTCATGTTAAAAACAAAATCAACTCTCTGTATAAATATATCAGGTGACCGTTAAGGCCCATGGGCCTCTTGTTCAACAAAGGGCCATTACTCCTAAAAAGGGTCAGGTTGAAGAAAAATAATACCTGGATGCACATCATCAGGTGGTTGTTAACATATATGAAAACTTTCGTTGAAATTCACCCCTTAGTTTTGGAGGAAATGTCCGGACAAGGATTTTTCAACAAAGGGCCATCACTATGTAAGAAAAAGGTCAGGATGAAAATATAATGCCTGGATGCACACACGCAGGTGTTAGTTATCATATCTGGAAACTTTCTTTGAAATTGGTCCACTTTTAGAAGGAGTTGTCCGGACAAACTTTTTCAACGGACGGTCAGGTGGACGGACAAGCTGATTCCAATATCCCCCCTCCCTAACTTCTTTGCGGGAAGTATAATAAAGTGTATAATAGTATTAATATAAAGATTATTTTATTATTTTTTATATAATTGCATATCTTTGTCTATAACACAATCATAACCTTAAGTAGTTCTCCAGAGGAAAGATTACTGCTGCACATAAATTTAAAACATGCGTAAAATAATAAAGTGGTTTGATATGATGCAAAAACAGAAAATGTATCGGTATTTACCATAATGAACATTGATAATCAAATCTTCAAGATTATGTGAAATTGGGCATTGATCATGTTTGGCATGCTACAAATGTACTTTACCGGTTTTGATATTGCATAAAAATGAATCTGTAGACAGAATACATATATGGGTAGTTTTTTAAAAAGTTTAAAATATAGACTACCATTGTAACTATATATAGGCAAGTTGACAATGTTGGTTATATTTTAAATTTTGTGAAACGTTTGCATGTTTTCCTTATTAAAAGTATCACTACGCTTATTTCAAGTATACTAATATAACATATTTAGTATCAAAATAACAGTAATTTTATACACTGTACACTTTCATAACTCATTTTTAATATAACATTCGCCTGTGACATGTATCTGTCATTTTGTTAGGTAACCCCCGTCACTCAACCTGGTGTTACGCAAGGAGGCCTAGGTCCACTACGGTTATCAGTAGCATATGAATGATCATTTATGCAGTTATTGATCATTTTTATGTATCTACATATGGCAAAGAATATAAGAAATCAAAGTGGGGGCCAAATGTTGACCCCAACTTTATAAAAGAAAAGAGGATAGCATATCTAAATAAAAAATGATAATAAATCTAAAATAGTTAACTTGATTAAACCATGAAGCATATGTGCAGGTTATCTGAAGGCCATCACACAACATTTGAAAGATCACAAATATTTAAATTGTCCATAGATGTCTCAACATCTGAAGGGTCCTGGCACATCTAAAGGACAGCGTCCAATCATCTACATTGTGTAGGAAGCTACCACACAAATTCAAAAGTCACCAAGCAACATCTCAAATCTAAGCAAAAGCTCTTCGTAAGTCCACACCATTCCAAAACAACCTTACAAATCATCAACACTATCAAAAAAACATTTCGGATGTCCAGAAAGCATATCAAATGCCATCAAACTACATATTAAATGTTACTGCATAACATATCAAAGCTCACTTCATTAACATCAACACAAAGATGTCTCAAATGTTATAAACGTGACCATGGGAAATGTCGCCGCAAAGACCACACATCAAATCAAATGCCACAACTTAACTATGGGAAAGTTTCCTCATCATAGCTTCGATATCGTTATTTACCCACCAGTTAGTATTATTTACGTATTTAACGACCCATCAACAAACATACCAGAGGTTATTAGAGTCAATTAATGGTCGGTAACAACATCAAGGGCCCCTTTTTCCGATTACAGGTTTAATAAAGTATAGTTTGTTGTCTGCTCATTGCTTAAAATGAATGAAGCAAAGTTAACAGTCAATTGTTAGTAGCAATGAAGCCGTTTTGGCGGCGTAATCGGCCTTTTTGCTAACTGGTATTTCCACATGTCCAGGAACCGAACATAATTTATGTTGCAAAGGGTGTAGAACAG